ACCGACGACACGTACGGGTCTTATAAAATATGTATAATATGCATATGGTAAAACCTATGTTTTTTTTCAATTAAATTGACTTCCACGCCCTCCTAATGGTACGTGGCGAACGGGCGGTAGCAGAAGAATCCGAGGAGGCGCAGATACCGACTTACATCTCTACCTACAGCCAGTACACGTCGTATATAATACCTAGGTATACAATATACTCGACGACGGCGTTTATTAATGAAAATTTCGTCTTGCGCTTGGAATTTTAATCTGAACTTGGCCCAAGTCCCTCGAGGTGAATATTCCGATATTAATATATTATACTCGCCGCTCGCACGTTATCACGTAGGCTGCAGGTACCTACATATAATAATAATATATAAAATAATATATTTTATAAAACGGCAAGACGACGTGTGCACGCAGAGTCCGAGAGAGCGCCTCGTAATTAAAAAAAAAAATTGAATTATAATCCCGTAAGAACCCGTGGCCACACACGGTAATCCGATATTTTCGCACCGTTTATATTTTTAGGCGCCTGTCATTACGTATTACTATTATTAATAATAGTCGGATCGCCGGGCTAAATAATAATATGATACATGTGCTTGTAACACACGGTGCCGTGACGGAATGGCGTCCGAGGCAAACCCGTTGTTTTAGCAGCATTTTATATTGTTATTTTAATATTATAATATCGCATTATTTTTATTTTAAGCCATGTATACATACAGGGTAAACGATTTGACTGTTCTAGCAATGTGATTTTGAAGAAAAATAATATATGTCGTTTGAAAAATTACTGAAAGTTGTAACATACATAATATAGCATTTATGCTGCAGAGCAAAAAAACATCATGCGTGTTTAAATTCTGTATTGTGGAGCAGAATTTTATGTCTATAATACCTATGTAAATGTCGGCATTTAAAAATAAAATTGAAATTGATGCAATAGGCAGTTGCTATTTTATTTAAAGTTTAGATATAATGCGAATACTGTGATGTGTGAAGGGTAGGTGCCCATCTGGCAGGTACCCTACAGTAGTGTATATGTCAATATGTTAAACGCTCGCCATTGTACTTACATCAAATTTATCAAAGTGATATTTATAAGTCAAAATATTTATTCGATTATTTCGATAAAAAATAATGAAACATAAAATTTTTTTATGTCGTTTACCGAAAATCCTAATGAACAATGAATTAGATTTCTTTGCCAAAATGTTATGTTATAAATACTAAAAACTGTACAAAAATAATTTTATGTTATGAAAATAAAAACGTTCTCCGAGAAAATAATAGCGTTGCTGGTTAAACTGATCACCCTGTATATACCGTTTCATTATAATAATTTACAGCACACAATAGCACATCATAATATCACGATATTATATACGAAAATGTTAATTTCACGTGTCCATATCGCGGTCAGATTTTGTTCAACGTAGTTTATAGGTCCGGGTTTCTTCTCCGATACTCTCGCAAGCGCACACTGACACGCACACACACACACACACACACACACACACACACATACACAGGCAGAGTGAAACCACAGTCACAGTGTCTTTTTTCACTTAAATCGCATAGTATTTATTTTTTTTTGGTCTTTTATGCTTTGTCGTCATGTCCCTAACGTTTTCTCTTGGCTACGGTATCGGGTCTGTTTATTGTGTATTTAGTGTATTTAGTATGATAATACCATAGGTATGTTCAATGTTAAATCAAAATATAGATTCAACAGATAACCTAACGTTACATCCATCATTAATTTTCAACAATATAATAATATGACATTCAAATAAGTTACATGGCAAATGGTACAAATTGTAGGATATTGTACAGGCATCTACTATCTAGTTAGTAGATATGTTAATTTTTTATTTAATATACCTGTGAAACTAATTAAATTGAATGTAAGAAGATATTCTTAAATCTCAACTAAAACTATTTTGTTTCATAAATCTGAGACAAGTCGTACACGCAAATTCAATACATTGTATACTATAATATGATCTCTATACATATCTTATATAGATCCAGCTGGTGCTATTATTGACTTCCATTGTGTCTATATGTTACATAATATTATGTATTGAAAGATTTCCATGCTAGTCGTTAGTACAGCGTAAAAATAAAATGCATTGTTTGAGTATCAATATTTTGGCAACGTTGCACGGTTTTTTTATTATAAATATTTCGATAGCTTATTGACTATGTGATAATAACATCCCAGAGCTCAAATCTGCGTTGATTATTTATTGGTTGAAAAATCAACCTGTACGTCGTGTTGATCAATAATAAACCAACCATGATCTAATAATTTGACAGTTTTATAAATTTGATTAAATCTTTATAAAGAATTATAATAATTGCAATGACTAAAGGTTTTCAAAATATAAATTGTATACAGACATAACAACCATGACTAACTTTGCATCGACGTTATAATTTTGTATGTAAAATATTGTAAAAGCTTCCTGGTAAATTATTCTTAATAATTTGATGACAATTAATTACATTTAACCATATATTCATTTATGATTTTATCGTTGCTTAGTCGTCTCATTAGATCGTCTGGACCGTGATCAACATTGAAAATTGAAATTAATGATTGTCTGAGATAAGATATTAAATTCATTAACACCCATAAACTTTAATTATTTCTATTTGCAAATATACGTTATATACTTATATGCTAGGAAAATTTTCACTCTTGTAGAAAATATATCTCTGACAATGTGTTTGACAGCGATATAATTACTGACGGGTGACATATTGAATATTCGCCTAATTTTTAAGGGGTCTAACCTTCTGCAGACTCAATCTTGATTTGTCTTCTTTGGCAGACATTAATGATCACGTGGTCGAACTTGGCCTATATCTGTAAAATTGAAATTTAACTTCCATGTGTGTAGCTATTACATATACTATTTTAAGCTATCACGTCACGAGTGCCTGTGAAAAATAATAATCTGTTACAGCCTACAGAGTATAGGTATTTAATCAAGTGTATTAAAACACGAAATCATATTTACAAAATATAAAACTTTTGTTGAATGTACCTATTACCTAAACTTAATCAAAACCTTGAATCCATATTATACTTGTAATATATGTACAATAATTTATCTTAAATAATAAAATTAACGAGTAACATGGGCGGAGATGATAAAGCACGCAATAGATTCCAAGTTCCAACACCAAAGTTTCAAATTATTTTATCGTTAAACATAAATATTAACTTATGTAACTTCTCAAAACGATCTAGGAGACTGGAGAAGTAATACAAAAACGGTCTAACCTCATTTGGCTTAATTTGGCGATCAAAAACAGAAAAAAAGTCTTCAAAACGTTTAATACAATATTTAAAAGTTGAATACATTCAACACTATAGTGTTTTATTTCCTTATAAGTCTTATAACCAAATAATTTGTATGTAGGTATATTGTATTTATATTATTACAATTATCTCCTTAATTCAATAAGTTGAACTTGTTTTTGCTAAACCATCGCACCCTAAAATGGCGTGAACAGGTTTTTAGTATATAATATTATATGCCCATGTATTTTCGATATTTTAACTCCTAAAAGAACAAAGTACACAGTATAATGTACCTTGCATTAAACTTTCAAATTTTTAGACTAAGAAACGAAATTTTTATCAACATAAATTAAATAAAGTTGAACATTCAAAAGGCCAACAATGAATACCTTGGTAGCTTAAGAACATCTAAAATTTATTTTGAAAAATATTATATTTCATGTCTATATCAAATTATAGGTAATACAAATATTTGATGAACATTTTAAATCTGTAATTTTTTTTTAACCGATGTTTCATTAATAATCAAGTTTTCTATCTGTTTTTATTAGTTTTTCCCAATTGTTATGAAATTCACAAGAAAATATGTTCTGCTTTCGACCCCCAAAATACTAACAAGATCAAATGTCCTACATGTAAAGGTAGAAAACTCATTAAAGTTGAAGATTGAAGCAATTTATCTACTAAAAAAAGTGTTGTCAGACGCAAAAAAAAAACCATAACACATCACTGTAAAAATTATAATTATTAATAGGATGTCTGCGCAATATTGTTTCTCTCTCTGATCTACGCTGCACAACATAGATAAAACGCATTTGTGTACAATGGATTTTTATGCATTTTGAGTATAATCTTATAGGGTAAATTTTCTTATTACAAAAATTATAGAGGATATTTTTTTTTATGTTTTATATATTATTATTATTTGATTTATATTCGACTTTAAAAATAAAATGTTTTTAATTTAATATTAAATTGTATTTGTACCTACATTTATAGACAAATCGAAGCGTCGATACGCAAAAATATTATTCTCTATACATTTTGCAATGGCTGATTTTAATATAAGATTACTCAAAAATATACAAACATTGATTTTGGGTGAATGTGTTTTATCTATGTTGCACGTGGACCAGAGAGAGAAATCAAACAATGCGCTGACATCCATTACAATATATATAGGTAAGTGATTTATCACAGTGCCGTTTTATTTTATCTTCGTTCATTGATCATAGGTTGGTTTGATATTAAATAACTTATAAGTAACTATAGTACTTAATGCATCCCTTGGAATAAATTCCATACAATTAAAAGTACCATAATAACTTGATAAGAAAACCAACTTAAGTGAATTAAATTTAAAATAAATGTAATTAATTACATAATATCTTATATTACATATATAACACAATACAACAATAAACGAATAATATTATGATATATAATAATATAATATATAATATTATTATTATTTATTATAAATTTGAGAGAAATGTATTATAAAATATCACCGTATTAAAAAAATGTACTTAGTTGACCATATAGTTAAAATTTAAAACCGCACTTTTTGTGGTTTCCTCAAATCTTTTCAATGGTACCTATATATTTATAAATTTTATCTAGATAGTTTAGTACAATATAGTATATTATAGTTTTATTGATATATATATATATTTTATTTTAGAAATACCTGTTGCCTTTGAAAAGTGTCGAAAACTCGGTACTAATTGAACCGTCAGTGGTTGACGAGATATTTTACCAGGTAGATAAATCTTTTTCACTTTATCGTAATGCTCATTTACACGTATAAAATAATGTACTCTGATCGTAGATACCAGACATTTTAATGGAGCACGAACAATTCCTAAAAGATCTACATAAGCGTCTCGAAATTTGGGACGCACATCAGAGAATCGGTGACATCTTATTAGAAATGGTTTGTAGGGAGAAACGTTTGTGCCTAATATAACTGGCATGGAATTTATTTTGTATGGTTTTTTTTCCTATATAGTTTTCGAAAAAGCCTGTGATAGATGCATATACATCATTCATAAATAACTGGAAGCAAGCCAAAGAAGCTATCAAATCGACTTGCAATTCAAAACCAGCATTTGCAAGATATTTAGAGGTATGCAAAAACAATTATAGATTGGGTAGATGTTTTAAAAAAAATGTTTCTACAAGAATCATATTATCAATTTAAAATTTACACAAATTAAATTTTATCTGTATATTTTTGTATTACAGTCTACAGCTCGAGAACATAAAGGAAAGTTGGCACTAGATTCACTTCTCATCATGCCTGTTCAGCGAATACCCAGATATGAACTTCTCATACAGGTATTTTTTTTTATCAAATACCTAGGTACTATAGTTAGTTAGTTTAATTATTCATACCTATTACCAACATACAGTTGAATATTTAAAGGAAAAAACTTCATTAATTGTGATTTATGAATTTATTTTGTCGATTGTTGATGACTTGATGTTTTCATGTAGCTATAATAACCAAATTTCCTCAAACTAAAATATTTTGACTTAAAATTTCCTAGTAAAATAATACATATTACATACTTGTGTAGACGTCAATGTTTATTATTATTATTATTATTATTATTATTATTACTACTGTTAAATAGTCATTATTTATTATTATCACTGTAAAGAATCGATTTTTAGGTTCTTAAAAGTTTGAAATATGATACAAAATATGTAGCAAAAACCCTTAAAATATTCTCTATAAACATTTCATTAAAAAATTATAAAATATGCTCAAACTTAAAAATAATCATTAATGTAATTTTTATATTTTATTTTGTGAACTGATTCATGGTTTTACCCCCTTAGCACAAATATTGTGAAACCTAAAAGTAATAATTCCTACTCTAAATTGATCAGCGTTGCACAATAATTCATATTTTAATTACCACTGCATAGTCTGCATACTACTCCTACACACCATTTCACCAAAAATTGGGACTTAGGAACAGTCTACCTAGGCGATCCATGTGGGCTTTATTATTGTACTCTCCATAGTAATGTAGGTACCTACTATATTATAAATATATTGTGTATTTCACCAATCACATATTAATTCAAAAGTCTCAAATGCACTCCGAATTTATATTAATGCTAAAATAACTATAGGTACTTTAAACTTTTAAACGCAAATTATTTAACTTGACAAACAACATTATAATTATTCAAAATCACATTATGTAGCATTTGTTATTTTTAGTATAGTATAGTAAATCTTAAAATCAAAAATTGTAACAAATACAAAAACTCTGTTATTGTAATAACAAAAATTATTATACTATTTAACAATATATTTAGAGTAAAATTATTAATTAACATTAACTATTAGAATTATTAGAACTGCTTGTTGGTTATCAAAATATTCGATGTTAAATTTATCAAACATGGAATTGTTAAGTTATTAATGAATATAATTTTAAAGTGATATAGCAAATACTTGATTTAATCGTTCATATATACTTAAAATTGTTTTTTTTTATTTAAATTCAAATATAGTTTAATATGGTTAACTACGAATATAGGTACATAATAGGTTTTCTAGGTAAACGTAGTGTAGGACTTCAACAATTAATACAACACCCTAATGTTTTAATTGAATATACAAATTACAGTTAATTTAACACTTTGGTCCTTAACCTTAACAATTGATTGAAACTAAATTTAACTCCAATATTCCTATATGTCTGCGTCTACCTCTTTAACCACCATTCAGAGAAAATAATATTACGTAATTTGTTATATTATATAATTTTCGTAGTTATTTTTATTTTTTATCTATTAATAATTTACTACTAACTCAATGGGCTTTTCAATTGTCATTTACTCATTTCAACATCTACCAATAAAAGGCATACACGTTTGTTTGTCTCCATTATTTACCACATTCTTAATATTCTAATATATTAAACTGAATTATATACTATATAGATCAAAACCTATCTCAATTTTCATTTTTTCATTTATTAAACATTATCTAGTCTTCCGGCCCGTGTACGACTCGAAAACCAAGTGTATAGTAGGTACCTAATTCTTATTTATAACGATAAGTGTTTTTGCTTTGTTTTATTCAGACGCTATTAAAACACACCGAACCAACGCATCCAGATCACGAGTCACTGATCGAATCGCAAAAACAAGTGCACGAAATGGCCGTAAAAATCAACTGCACCGAAAAGGACAATATGGAGCTGGAGCAGATTGAGTCTTTGATCGACGGACTGATACATTTGGCGGCCACCGACCGAACATTCCTCAGACACGACTTGGTGACCATCGTTTCCGGGCAGTCGATGAACCGTAAGGAACGAGCGCTTTTCTTGTTCTCTGACTTGCTGATCGTTACCAGTATCAAAAGAAAAAGCGGAACCATACGTAAACCATCCACGTAAGAGGCACACCATTATGTTTAAGGTTAAAATAATAGATACCGGACGTGATGGTGCAAAAAACTTGAAAAAATAATTTTGGAGTTGTGTTCTTCACCTATACTACAATTTGAATCTGTCGGATATAGAAGTTTTCAATGTGATGTTTGCCACACAGTTAGAAATCTGTAGTTGATTTTATATTTTAACAGATCTGTTAGAAACAAACAGTTTATATAGAATGAAAAACAGAAGGTTTAACACCAGGCGTTTACTCAAAACGACATTAGATAATATAAGAGAATTATATTAACTTTTTGGATAGATGTTGAATAGTTGAATACTACATTATCCAATGGCTTATAATAAAAATGACATCAGTGTATTGTCGAATTAAACATATTAATCTCTACATTATATGTAGACACACATGTATAAATGTTATATTGACTACAAATACGGAGTTAAATAGTTAAATGTTACATTAGTGTTATATAATTTGTTGTTCACCTTACATTGATGTATTGTAATTTGTAAAAAAAACTTCTCGATCATTTACACATATTTCAAACACTTTTAAAAATCATTTTATAGTAAATTAATTTAATAGAATAAATTTATTAAGTATATCAATAGCGATAGCTATGATTGAAAAATGTTCTGCTTTGGAATAAGGAATTAAAAATGCATATTATCATTACAAAAAGGAAAAAATTGAAAAAAACAATAGCGATAAAAATATAAATTATTTTCAATTATGTTGTTTTGTAACCACTTACAATTACGTAAAAATGTTAAATTAATAGTTTTTTTCTAAATAATAAGTTTTCTCCTATGTACAAGTATCATCCAGTATATTATGTATGTCATTTCATATCCATGTATTGTATCATTGTACCAATTGAAGTACCTAGTTGATAATCAATATGTTTATTAGGCGTTAGGAAAGAAACTGTAGCCTGTATAAGTACCAGGATCCATTCCCATCGACTATAAGAATAATTTGTCTAATTGTATTTTTTTTTTTTACTTTTAGAAGTTTTAAAACACCATCAGTTATTTTGACATATCTTCGTTTGTTAGGATGTATAAATAGTACTGAGCTTATTTTAAAACCAATTGGTGTTGCATTTACCCAGTGCCGTTGTAATTTCAGAGACAATTGCCTCTAAGATTTTACTTAAAGAAAGGGTTGGGTTGTAGCCGGTGGGTTCCCTGTAGTAAATGTAATATGGTATTCTCAATAGGTAGTCAATAATGATCTAAAATATAATTAGTTATATATATCAATACATTATTGTGCATTAATACTTGGGATACTAATTGTAACTTGCCTCCGGACAAATTTTAACCACTGCATTTACCTCTATCTTATAACTATTATGAGTTTTACCATAGTAACGAATATTAATTATTTAAACAATCGCTTAATGCGAAATCAACACCAAGGAGCTTATCCCATCTTTAAATCAACACAATATAACTGTGTATAACATTGACATCGACGAGTGTAGAATCAACTACAGATTCCTAACTGCAGCTCATAACTCTTCTTTAGTTCTTTTTGCGCCATTCGTTTTTCCATCTATTCATGCAACAATATCTCGTGTCAATTTTTGTTAGTCGGTGCAATTAATGAATTAGTGCGTTTATTTTTACGAATGTGTTCGTTTAAAGTGTACTGATTACTTAGATGGTGGTACAAACCACGCAACCAAAATATATTATATAAAAGACTATCGAAAACATTTCTAATAAGATTTAAAATGTTAAAATGTTACATGCATTTTAATGTAATACACGCTAATGAGCCAAGAAAAACAGTATGAGACGTTTATAATAGATTTTGTGAAATGAATTCTATAAAATATTATTATTGGACATTTTACAGGACTACGCCAAACAGCGTCGTGAGCAATTTAGAAGCAAACAAATATAAGTTACTTATGAAGATACCATTGGATGATGTTGAAATAGTTAAAGGTATACATTAACATTACTGTCATTTAATAATCAAAAAAACCGATTTTAGATTCAATATATCAGTAGGTATTGTAAACACTTATAACTCATTATAGGTAAATTTTTATTTCTTGTTTTCCATGATCAATTAAAACAATATTTCGTACACATAATACATATTATATATTATGCTTTTATTTACATATTATTTAGAATTTAAAGTGTACACAAAAACTTGTTGATTCAAATAAATTCAAAAATATCTGTTTAATGTTTGCAAATTTATTATTTATTTATTCACTAGAATGAAGTTAATATTATATGATTCAAATTTATTATTTCAAAGACTGATAATGCAACTGTTAGAACAACACTGTTATAGAACATTGTTATGGGACGCAGTCATGCAGATACATTGTATACTTAATAGGAGATACCTAATATAACTTGCACGTCTGAAGTTATAAATTTTCCATTATAAATAATTAAATACTCGATGGTATTTCAGTAAAAGATGAAAACGTTCGCCGTATGCTTCGCGAGATGGAGTATTTGTCGGAAGATGTCTCCACTCTGACGCAAATGACAGATATGGTTTCCATGTTGCACTGTCCGCACAGTCACCTGGAAGACTCGATTAAAGATATGCTCAGTGCACTCAACAAACAACTGTCAGAACGGCAAGCCAGCGACACTCAACTATGTTATCTAGAACTGAACTTGCACACCAGGTAAACAGAATATAATATATATACAATTATATATCAATATATTGACGGTGCAGCGTAGGGACGGCACCTATAATTATGTGAGCATGGGAAATTCAAAATAAGAAAACGATTGTTTTAAACTATATATTGTTGATGAAAACTGTTAGGGGCCAAATTATGTATAAAAATAATTCTTTACCAAAAAAATCCATAAAAAAATTGATATTATTCAATCAAAAGGTGAACATAAAAAGTAAAAAGCACATTAAGTTGTTATAATATGCAATATAATAACTTAACTAGTAGTTATTACTTATTTAACAGGAGAAATAATTTTCGATTTGAAAAATCTCAAGATCGAAGGGGATGAAAGTTTAATTTACCAATATTTTTTTTAGGAATGGTACCGAGACCGTGTCAATAATGTTTTCGAAACCAGAAAAACGGGCAAACTGGGAAGAGTCTTTTAACGAGGCCAAACAAAAACTCGGTGAGTACAATAATATAGGCGAATTATTAATAATAATGCACCTGATGCGTCCATAGGTCATTATCTAAGAACTAACTCTGCGTTATGCAATACAATGTTATACAATAAGGCTATATAAAAATGAATCCCTATTTCCCCTGGTCACGCCATAATATGAGAACGCATGGACCGATTTGGCTGATATTTTTTATGTTATGTTCGTAATTGTCAGGACAAGGTTTGTATGAAAGAAATTTTTAGGAAAATCGGGAAAAGTAGGAAATCTGGATGGCAAAAATACAACAGTGGCGTCATCTGTCCAGCAAAATCATAAACTAATTAATAATATATTTTAGTTGTTTGTAAGGTTACTATTAGTTATGTTGAATATAATTTTAGACCTGTATGTTATATTTAGTCAAAACCATAATAAAACTTAGTAAAATGGTATTCCTAACTCTAGTTTTTCGACCCGGGAACATACAACATCATAAACAACGTGTTAATAAAATATATGTAATTACGTACGCACCTCGTGGGGTCCACCGCAGGTGGATTGCCTACCTGAAAATATACTTCTCGCATAATCACAAACGTGTCTCGCTGGATGGCTGGACGGGATGGCTACAATAATATATTATTATAAACGAACGTGTCCTGACTGATCAACGTAGACGTCGTAAAGCATAAATAATGATAGCTCGAGGCTTGCAATTTTCACGGTACCTTCGTACCACCGTGTAATTGACAATTGTGCACCAAGAAAGCATCTTCCAAAATTCGCATTTTAAAGTGGTGCTTGTACGAGTATTTTGACATTCAAGATGAAAAATTTTAAGTTTTGAACACCGTTCTCCGAATATTAAACAACGAATTGAACAAAGTTTTAAACATATAGAGTTGGCACTTTTAACTGCAGGCAACGAAGTGCACGGGATCAGCTGGTATTATCGTATATTGGTTGAGATACCCGTCAAGAGACTATTTCATTGTAGGCATTCGATTCCAAGCAGTATAAATATATTGTTTATGGGTTTGTGGATAAAACGTTCGGTGGTTATAGTCATTCAACGCTATATACTTTGCGCCATCCCCATAATTTACACATTCTTTGGATGCTTTTGAACGTATTTAAGACCTATCTGTCCCGACTGGAAACACGTTTCTCACTGTTTTTTTTTTTTCGTGCATTTCAGTCCTGTCCACGGACCGGAGGCCGAATGCTGATTTCGTCGGCCCAGTACCCATACGAAAGACCCGGGCTGGCTTGCAGTTTACGTGTGCAGCACCGGCGTTGAACCAAAGAGACGTGTGGGTCTGCAACAGTGACGGGTACGTGGGCCAAGTGTGCGTGCTGAGTCTCTACCCCGAGCCGACTGTCACTTCGTGTAATGGCGTATGTAATGCACGCATACTGTGTGTCACCTCGATACCGGCACCGCAGCGAGTCGAGTAAGTCGCCCATCTGTGCACTGTCTGCAGCAAGGGTTTTATAAAAATATACTGTGATGATAATTTAAATTTTTTCAATTTTCTTCTCCCCTTTGGTTCGATCAGTCAAGCCAACAGTACCGACAAGGACGACCAGAGCAGTAATCCAGAGATCAGCATATCGATCGAAGACTGTGCTGAGCAGACCGGGCCGGACATCAAATTGGACAGGTAATGAGCGTTATGTGTTCATAGAAAACCATTTACGATTTACGCGTCGCACTCAAGAGTCGTATGGGTATAGGGTGTGTCAATTTTCGAGTTGAGGGAAAATGGGATCCCTCCAACGGCGATGCACCGTTTGTATAAAGGAGGCTCGAAATTTGCTTCAACAATTAAAAAAGCCAAGAATATAGAATTTACAAACAATTATAAACTCTTGATTAAACTATTTACAAGACGTGTACATAAGTAAAATAATACTATATAATCATAATTTAATTAGAGTTAAGTTATATAAAAGTATAGTATTATCATTATGTTGTACTAACTACTATGTATTCATTGGCTAACTTAATATATCAAAATCAAATTATATGTAAGATATAATTGAATAAAATTTTACTTCAAATCAATGACGACCAATGATAATTTCACCTCGAAGAATGCCAGAAAATATGTTTTTCAAATATTTGAATACCGCATTATTTTTATTTTTTAACATTAAAAGTTGTAAGAAGTATATAAAAAAAAATGTGTTGGGGAACACTAATTGTGCACAACAATATTATAAGTGCAGCTTTTTTTTATTTACTAAGAAAATGCAATCCTTAAACTAGCATTGGTCGTAGGATATAGGTAATGCTAGAAGAGTTCCGGTATAAGTACTCATATTGTTTTGTCATACAGCTCATCGAGTGAAGAGGATGACGACAAGGACGCCGGTCACGATCGCGTCCCTGACGGAATGTACCCCACGGACCCTGTGGACTTCGAAGGTGAGCCAACCATGTGGTTGGGTACAGAGGACGGATGCATACACGTGTACAATTCGATGGACAACATTCGCATAAAACGAAATAAAGTTAAAATTCAACACGGGTCTGCGGTGCATTGTATCATGTAAGTACAACTCGAAAATGGAGTGAACCATTGATATTAATTTTATAATAATATAATATGTACTATTATATTATGATAAGTGATTTAAAAAAGTAAACGGAACAATGATTTGCTTAAAAACTACAATTGAGTATTTTTTATGTATCTTAATTTAATATTATACTGTTTAAAATAAGAAATTATAATAAAACAATTTTTGTTTACTAGATATCTCAACAACCGCGTTTATGTTTCATTAGCAAATGGTGATATTTGCATCTACTACCCAGACACGAGTAAGTATACAAAAACATATTGATATTTGAGTGTCAATGTTTATAAACAAACACAATATCTTACACCTTCTAGACGGTAGTTGGAATACATCGGATCCGGTGACCATCAACGTTGGTTCAGCTGCTATCCCGGTTTCCAAAATGTTGCCTGTTGGTGATAAACTCTGGTGTTCATGTCACAATACTGTTAAGATATTTGACACGGTCACCTTACAATTTCAAGTGAGTTAAAAAAAATGACAAAGTTGTCCTCAAAAAAATTACAACAACTCAATAACTTGTAAATTTCCAACTAGCTCGTAATGCAACTGCCTTAGGCTAAAGGCTTAGACTAGTATTAGGATGAAAGAATATAAATGCTACCAATTATATACCCTTAAACTTTTAAAGTATTCTCAGGATGTTTAATATTTTTTTTAAATGTTTATTATATTAAAACATCTGTATTGGAATAAAAAAAAAATATTATATTTGGTCAATTCAATTTCTGTGGAAAATTCATGACAATATGCAATGTGCATACTTATTAGTTATTGTCGACAAAGGTGATACAAAAATGAGTAGGTACCTATGCTAAAATATAAACTATAAATTATAAAATATCAATAAGCTCAGTACCTATAATAATAATAAAAAAAAAACTTTACCTATAAGTAAAACATAAGCAATTACAAATTATATTTTAAATTCAAAACTTTGAAAATGGTTTAAATAATACTTTGAAAATAGCAATGGTGCTGAATCTTATAAATATGTTCAGTTGATGGGTACTGCTGCAGGATAGATGTACTCAGCATACCACGGTTAGATGTAAAATGAAGAGATACTACTCTCATGTCTCAATATTTTTGTATAAGCTCCGAGTATAAGTCATACCTTTAGTAAATATAATAGTTGATGAATATATTACATATTTCAAAATTTGGTTGTTTGGCATTCGCTAATCGCCACTGACTTATTATTCGGTTAATTTCACTATACTTCTGCAGTGCGTGACGATGCGCTCATATTTTGTGCATGACCACTAACCTGACCCACAAACTCTTAACCCTCCAACACCCCCTATCTGGGCCATAAGTCCTAACCTATACCTTTATCTCGCACGATTAATATGCCTACCTTTATTTATAATATTATATGTATAAAATACGTGTGTATATATACTCACAGTGTACCTATATGTGAGTGATATTATATTATGGAAGCGGTTACTTACCCGTTTATCGTTTTCAGCATTCTTTCGTGATCGGCGGTGACTCGAACCGATCGATCACCAACATGGTCGTGTCGGGAATGGGCGTGTGGCTGTCTCTGCAGAACTCGGCCGTGCTCCGTCTCATCCACTCGGTCACGTGCGAAATTCTGGCCGAAGTAAACACGGCACCGGCCGTCACTAAAATGCTGTCGAGTAAGTATAGGCCTGCAGCCTACCTATATATACATATAATGTGTGTCGCACCGTTTTCCGGTCATGTGTTGTCGTGCCGATATTATATATTATAGTTCTGCGACCGTTTAACTGCGACATAATAATCTCATGTATAGGTAACATATACCTACGACTAATATAATAGTCCATTTCTTGTTTTTTTTTTTTTTTTTTAATCGCATTTTTTACCGTTTGCCCTTTGCAGGCTGCGACGACATCATAAGGCAACACAAAGCGGCGTGTCTTAGAGTGACGTCGCTGTTGGCGGTCAAAGACCTGTTGTGGATCGGCACCAGCGCGGGCGTCGTCTTGACCATGTCCATACCGGCCGTGGTCGCGAACACTGGCAAACTCGTCACACTCCCTGTTCCTATTGGTTAGTTATTACTCTAAACCCATAGATATACCTAGGTATATGTATAAAGCATTATCAAACACGCAGCGATGTTATCTCTAGTGCATGTGTGTGCCGCGAGGGGAGGGAATGGAGTGGAAAAGTCATAGGATCAACTCGTAGAAAATGGTCGACATCAAAAAGCTCAAGGAATTTATTTTTATTAGACAGTAATTACAGAATGACAAATCTAGAATCTCAATGTTTAATCATAGCTGAAAGTAGCTGTTTAAATAAAGTATAGGTGTGCAAGATAAGAACTAAAGAGTTGTGTTTTAAATTTAAAACTTTCAAAAATAGTTATGTATTTTGAATTCAACAATTTGTTAAAAGTATTTGAAATGTTTTTTATTCATGCAATTGTAAAATCATTATTAAAATAAATTTTTACAAGACAGGCAGTAAAAACGAAATTATAATTTATCCTAAATGTATTTGAGTATTTGTTCTGTTGTATTAATATACTCTTTAATTTTTCCCACAGGTGTGCCACACGGTCACACGGGCCACGTGCGGTTCCTGACTCTGGTCGGCCATTTGCCGCAGAACTTTTCCAAACAGCGACGGCAATCGTTGAACCAGAGGAAGATGAGCTCGTCCGGCAAGCTGTTGCTGATATCGGGCGGTGACGGGTACGAGGACTTCCGGTCGACGGCCGCGTCGGAAGTGGCCGGTCGCGAGGACTCTACTAACCACCTGTTGCTGTGGCACGTGTGATGGGACGCGGATCCGGTGTAGGAGACGCAGCCCTCAAATACATTATAGTCTCTGGTTTAAAGATCGTTCGTGGACCACCACCTCTGCAGATGGATATTATAAATTTTTAGTTTATAACACGTTTCTCCGATATTGCGTGAAGGCGAGTGTGCGTATGCACTATGCATAGATAGGACAGATAGGTATCTACTGCAAGCGGTCTGACAGTGGCGCCGAGTATAACACTCGGATCAGTGTACTTGATCCTTTTAAACTATGTTGGGTTGGTGGATGGGTCGTTAGAGCCAATAACTCTGAACGGAATCGTTCTTTGTTTGGTTCAAATCCGTTCCTACATAATAGTATATAGTATAGGTACCTATCGGATCGGTGTGTCTGATATCTTGTAGATGTATCGTCGGCGTCACTGTAGAGCGATCAATGTAGTATTAGTGTATTACCATTCAATCGATAATTTATTGTATTATTACTTGTTAGTTATTAGCATACTTATATCAATACTGTAACTAGGACACATGTATATCCTCAACTACTCATAAAAAACCTTACACGCACTATTGTATTCGTATTTGAGCTAGGGTAACGTGCATATTTCAGTATTTGCTCCTATGGTGGCTTTGCCGTTTTGGTGCCATTGCATGAATATATGATACAGAGGTTCGCCAACATTTTACTGCGCCAGACCCCCTAACTTCCTATCAATATTTCGAGTGGATGATATTATTAGGGTTTCCTCAATTATAGGGAATTATTAACGTTATTACGATGCATTTTTTTTTCGTGATTTTTCGTAAATTATAATTTATTTATTAATTATATCAAATATTTTGTTGTTTATAAATTCTCATTATTATTGCCATTTATTTTAATTATCGTTCTTTGTCATTTTATTATTATTACTATTATTATTATCATTATATTTATCATAATTATTATAGTCGTATGCTTAAATTTGTGTTAAATAAAATTAAAATATTAATATCAATAAGTTATATTATAATTTTACTAAATTCATAAATATTGTAAAATTAAATTATACTCCTTTATTAGTGATAAGTATTTACATAGAATGTAAGTTGCAGTTAAATTAAGTCTTAGCTAATTTTTGTTCAGTGAGAAATACATGTAGGTATTTACTTTAGGAATATCAGGTACAGTATTCCTAATTTTTTAACTTTAAATTATGTACTGAAACCCGTTTAATTAATGTTTATATTATTAACTAAAATATAGGTACCTAATTTATTTTTATTTTGTTTATATGTCAAGTAGAGTGTTGGATCTTAAGATTTTGACTTTTAAGTTATTATGTATTTATTTGTTACCAAATTGTTATTGTATACCTAATTAATACTACACAAAGTTAATATAATTAAACATTTTGAATTACATGTTCACATTTTCAGAACCTACCTACAACCCACCTAATTGTCCCAAATATTATTTATTTTTAATTGTTAATATTTTTTTTAAGGAACTGTATTTAAGACAATAAATATTTAAAATAGTACCGAATATCGGTGGGCTTTGGTATAGGATAATGTTTAAGTTTATAATATAGTGTTGAGGTATTATATTTGAAAGTTACGTTATATCCTCGCATTTATAATAATAATAATAATAATAATTATTATTTATTTATTGGCCATAATATGATCACAGTACAGTAGTTATAATAAAAGAATATCGATTATAATGGCTTAACACACCACTGAGGAAAAAACCTCTTATTGGTGAAATTGGAGTACTAATAAAAAACCTAAGTAATTAAAGTAGTATAAACATTAAAATTATAAATGGAAACATTAAAAGACAAAAATATAATAAACATTACAAATTAAAAATTAAAAATGGAAACATTAAAAGACAATTAAAAAAATTATTTCGAGCGTAGTTAGCTAATGAGTAAGTATTGGTCAAAATATTTGCATGGCATTATTGAATGGATGGAGATCTATTTATGCTTCCTTTGGGGTTAATTATACACTCATGAAAATATGTATCATCAAAGTAGGTACAGTCTAACTCTATTTCCAACTACTAAATGGCTGTATGACACTTTTAAGTAGGTTTGACTTTCTATGCCTAGTTACTGCAAAAATATTATTAATATTAATAAATAAAACATTTACACATTATCTTAAATACCAATACTTTTCTCTCTTTACTGGTGCGTAAAACGTTAAATGACGATGTAGGTACGGATCGAAAACAATTTGTAATTCTAGGTACTCATTTCAATATTACATAATAATATATTGTCAATTATTATTATAAATGCGAATTTACTACCAAACGTATGTGACTCGAATCATTGAAACGTTTATCTAAACAATTATCATTTAAAATTATTATAATATTGGCTACACATTAGTGCAAAATATATCAGTTAAATAAAGATAGATTAGATAATATCAAAAATTATAGTATTCAATTAACAAATACACCTCTCCAGTATACAACTAAGTATAGAAACTATACATAGGTACATAATACATCATATTTAAGCGTTATACCGTATAGACATTATATACATTTTAACAACCATTTTTTTTTTTTTTTATCTATTTTATGTAGTCTTAATTATTTTTAGTATAATATTTCCTTTAGTATAACTGAACACAATCAGTGAGTAAAAATAAAGTAAGTAAATAAAATAATTTAGTTTGTTATAGATAAAAGATAGTATTGTGTTCCTATAAGCGAAACACACCGTCCAACTCAAATTGTTTTATTAGTTGGTACCTACCTACTGAATTATTCGATTCTTATCATAATTTTTTTCACCAATTTTTTTCACGAAAAAATATTTTATAGCATTTATTAAGTAATTTCGGTAAGTGAAATGTGAATTATGCTTCTTCTCCTACATTGTAGAATGTTACCAACAGGCAACAGATCATTATTCAGGTAAATATATTTAAATTCCATTGATTACAATTTAATTTTTTTTTCTTATTTGCGGGTTTCTTAATTTATGTAAATAAAAAATAATAAGGAAGTATTAAAATATTATATTTATGACTTACCTACTTTATATAAAATATATGTCACATTTGAAATATAATCGGTTGATGTAAACATTTTAACATTTTCATTTATATTGAATGTACCTAAACCAAATCTATGACCAATTTGAATGCCTTTTTTCTTTATTTGAAATACTCAATCTGTACAAATTAGCACAGAAAATATATATTATGTGATCACATACACCATAGTGATTATAGTGACGCTTTAGGCTATATTGTAATGTAAGAAAAATATGTAAAAAATTGTTTATGCTTTTTTTCTTCTGAACTCCGAGATTTTGTATACTCGAGTTGTAGTCGAATGATCGGTTGATCAAGTGTCGATTCTTTACTGTGGATTGATGAAGTAACAATTGCACCACCACTTAATTGATCGAGGATTTAAAAAAACTATCCGTAGATAGGATTTTGACTCGAATTCAGCATTATGCATGAGATATCCAACTTGACACTTTACCAGTGGCGTAGCCAGGGGGTGGTTTTAGGGGTTCAAACCCCCCCCTTGGCCTTAAAAAAAAATGTTTTTATTGTATGATTTTAATACTTTTATTTTTATTATTATTTAATATTATTTTAGTATTTTCTATGTACGGCTGTGGGACGCTATTCGGTGATCGTCGCGTGCTTATCGCACCGACGACCGAACGATCCCACATCTACTCAGAATTATATAAACATATGTATATGTCTATGGCGTGTATGTATGACCCGACGACAGCGACGGGTAATATTGTTCTATTTATACTTTTATCAATTATTCTTTTATACCATATACTATCGTGCTGCTGAGAGACTGAGTCTTGATTATATTCTACTGTGAAAGTATACGAAACTGTACTGGTACCATACAACAAGTATGTGTGTTTTTTAAATACCCTAAACGACAAAATGTAATGTTAGATTCAATAAAACGTGTATGTCCTGAATCACAGATTACTAAACTAAAATTACTTTGTCCAACAAGATGGGTCGATCGGCATGACTCCATAATTACTTTTATGGAATTATTTGATGCAGTTATTGATGGATTATCAATTATTTCTACATGGCCAGACAGAGAATCGTCATCAGGAGCTTATCAACTTTTGTGTGCTATTAAGCAACCTGAATTTATTTTGGCAACACATCTGCTAGCAAAAGTATTTAGCATAAGTTTACCTCTTAGTAAACTTCTTCAAATGCAAAATATTGATTTGATTGAAGACATGTCTCTGGCAGATAATGTATCTGATGTGTTAAAAAATATCAGAAATAATGCAGATGAGGATTTTAAGAAACTATTTTTGAAAGTGAAAGAAAAATGTATGTCACTTGATATTGAAATAACTTTACCTCGTTTAACAAACATACAAAAAAATCGGTTTAATGTAAAAACTACTTGTCCAAATGAATACTATAAAATATCATTGTTTATTCCATTTTTAGATAATTTTATTAGTCAACTTCATGATAGGTTCATTGCACATAAATCTCTAATTACCAATTTTTGCTGTCTCTTACCAAACAATAATTTGCCAAATAGAGAAGAAAACATAAAAAGTTTGGCAGAAAAGTATAGTGAAGATCTTCAATGTAGTTCAGATTCAGTAATTGGAGAAGTATTGACATGGACACAAAAATTTGTTAGAACAGAAAAACCAAAAAATGCATTAGAAGCTCTTATAGCATGTAACCCACTCATTTTTCCATCTACTTATAAACTTCTCCAAATAATAGCTACACTTCCCGTAACTACAGCAAGCAGTGAAAGGTCATTTTCTACGTTAAAAAGACTTAAGACATACCTTAGAAATACTATTGGAGAAAACAGATTAAATAGTTTAGCACTACTAAATATTCATCGTGAAATTATTTTAACAACAGATGAAGTTCTTAATGACTTTGCAAAAGACTCAAGAAAAATAAGATTGCTATAGCTTGTAATTTATAATGTGAAAAAATATATTAACTTTAATATAAATATTACAATTTAAATTTTTTTTTATTTTCTATTTTTACTTGTTTATAATAATAAGTCAATAAGTATGTACTGCGTGTTTAATATTAACATAAATAAATATAATTATTATTCACCTTCAGTTAATAAAAAAAAAATGTATTACTAAATAAGCGTATATAAGCGTATAACTCGGTACATTTTAGCGCATTTAGTTTTACCACTCCTGAACAATATATTTTAGAGTTGAGCAAAAATAAAAGTCATTAAACCCCCCCCTCGGGTAATTCCTGGCTACGCCACTGCACTTTACTGATCGATAGTCAATACAGACAGAAATTATTACCATACACATTTTTTATGTTAAAAAGACACTTTTTCCTTTTTACGTATATTTTAGTTGAATAAATTAATTGAATATTATAATTTAATGAATAAAATAATTTTCGTAGTACCTACCTATTCTTGTAGGAAATTCGGGATTAGTTGTCACTTATAATGGTACTACCAGGGATGTATTTAAGTCGGGGAGGGGGGTTCTAAGGTGTCCGGGCCGCCCATACATTAGCTCTTAACTATATAAAAAAATTGTTTTCGGGATTATAAAAAATGATTATAAATGTAAACCACAGCCTTAGGTTTGAAAAATTATTAAGATATCTATAAATATGTTGTAATATAAATAATAGTGGAATGTTTCAAGTTTCTACGATTAATATTTTCTGAATTAGATACAACAAAATATCAAAAATCGTGTGATGAGAAATTGTAGTCATGTTACGTTTGAATATATTTAAATTCGTCATAATTTGAACATTCATAGATTTCCCGATGAGGTTCATCCAAAGTGCGGAGTTCTTTAAACTTAAAGGACATCACAACACTAAAAACAAGTTTGCTTAGGTTTAAAGTAAGTTATTATCTAAGAAATATGGTGCAGTGGATCTTATACTTTAACACTAATTATTCAATGAAATACAAACGTTTGAAAATATGCGTGTGATATCATAGAGCCGAAGTCTGAACGGCGGCGTATTTTTTACGTGTAAAAGTGTCTAGATTAATACAAAAATTTCAATCATTAAAGATAATATTTTTTTTATGTAACCTTAAGTGTTTTTTGTTGTGTTTATGGCATTTGTGCGATATTAAGTTTAATATCCTTTCTAGTTTTTTCATAGTATAAATAATAAAACTATTATAGAAAATTTAGTAAAATTTGGTTGCACGGAAATACGACGCGAGTAAATTTTACTTAATTATAATTAATAATATATAATATATATATATATTATATACAATAAAAAGATATATTAAATTTTAAATCACACCATCGTCTAAAGCACATAAATATACATTATACATATACTTATGATTATGAAAAAAAAAATTCTGAAATACTATCGTAAGTTATTAAAACCATTGTGCAAATCAAACTACTTTTACTCGTAAAATACGAGTGGCTGCTTCCTCGTCGGCTCTATGACGTCACGCGGCTATTCATCAACTCTCATTATCTTGTTGAATAATCACTTTTTTAACTTCGGATTTTTACCAAAACCTTTTTCATTATTTTGACTACAATAATACATCAATAAACTTAAAATTAAAAAAAAAAATATTGTGTTGTGATGTCCTTTAATACTAATTATATTTATAGGATATTAAAAGTAATGTAAAATAATGAAACGACTTTAAAAAAATATACAATGAATAATAATATAAAAAACTAACACTGAATTAGTTGGTAATTATATTTCAATGATCCGTTTAGTCAAGGCATGTCAGATTTTCAACTATTTCAATAAATTGTTTAATATTTAAGTAGAAGTCCAAACTTGAAACGCCCGTGTAAGCAATTTAAAGGCATGTTAAAATTTTTGTTCACATGTTTGAAATCTAAATAGTATGGAATAAAACATAATTTTTTTTTGTGGCAATGACAGCGAGTTAATTTTTTTTCAATTAATACATTACAACAATTACAATTACATAACATTTATACAATAATTATAAAACATACTCAAATGATAAACGTTGCTAGAGATAAATGCAACTTGTACGCCGACAGAATTACACATTTAATTGTTTAAATGTGTAAAACAAGTTCAACTGCTAAATCTAAGTAAAACTAAACGAATTAGTTTTTGATTAGTGGGTAGTAAAAGTTTTATAATGCTCTGTGTAGACGTATGTAGCTTTATAGTTTGAAACTTAGTACCATTTGGTTTTAAAAAGTTAAGTGTTTTGTGGTGAGTTTTGTAATTAATCACCTGGGCAGCTAATTGAGTTTTAGCATCTCTGAAAAAGGAAAAATATCTTCTAATGGTTGTAGTTTTCAACAACCTCGACAACTTTATGCTTAGTGTCATTTCAATTATACTATGAAGTTTTATACTCTATTTATGTAATATAAACGTAATTTTAAATGATACAAAAATAAATTCAAAAAATATAGCATCTCCGCTTAGTTAATCCAATTTTTTTTTTATTATTAATCACAATAGTTTATTTATTCATATTTAAATATACTACATATAGTACATGTATAAAATTTAGATATAATTCAATTTACATTTATTGAAAAGGTACAATAATTGTATGCCTACCTTATATTAATTGTATGGTTCTTATTGACCTGAATTTTCGTCAATTCTAACAAAAGTGTGATTATGGTAAAGTAGTTTAAATTTCTGAAGGCACATGTAATGATAAAATGTTTTTGGAACTGATTGCTGGGTCCTTTAGACAGCAGGGCAGGAGTCACCTATTTAACATTAATTAGTTTGGATAGAAATTATAAATTATCCTGTTTTCTCCGATCGACAAATCCCATGACCCAATGAACGTCAGAATTTATATCATCTTGTAAACAGTTTAAAATCCTCAGTAGAGCCAACATTAAGGAATATCTTAATGGCATTACCAAATACTAGAAAGGTACAGTGTAGAGTGTTGTATAATTGTACTATAACCTTGATATTGTTTAAAGGATGGACACAGCAAAAATAACAGGAGACTAATACCCACCTCTTGATACACCTGCAGAAGTGACATTATAAGCCCTGAAACACGTCATGCCATAGGAATGAAACTATGCTACATCAAGGGCTCACCAAAACCGAGATCTACACACATGCTTCCCACGTCAAAATTTGGGTCCCTGTACTGAATGTTTTTGAGGACCCTATAAAATATTATTTAACATAAAATAAGTATTCTCATCAAAATTTCAAAAATTACAAATTAATTTCGACGCGCCCCTAAAATAGCCGGGCCCCCGAACTCCGGGTCCAACATCCTCCCCTTGTGGGGGTCCCGTGACTACGCATCGACAAATCGTTTAACAGAGCTGCACGCGGTGGTCCACGCGGTCGAAATACTTGGCAAAGTCCAAATATATCGAAGCGACCAGCAGCGTTTTGCTAAAGAAGCTGCAGCGAAGCCTCGAGAAACTTCCGTGGAATATAGGTTAAAGCCTCTGAAAACCCTATTAATTTTTCATCAAAACGACCTTAGTGACTGACAAAAATTAAAGTACTTCTATAGTGGTTCGATTTAAAAAATGTAAAGACATTTTAATTGGTCCACAAGTCTACTTTGCATCGGTCGGAGCATATTTTTTATATATTTTTAATACATTCAATACTAAAAATTTACAAATTTATAAAACGTAAAATATTTATTCTCGTCGAGAATTCGCTAAAGTTGATAAGATGCAAAGTAAACTTGTTTACCAACACAAACATCTTCACATTTTTTAAACCGAACCACTGGAAGTATCTTAATTTTTGTCAGTCCTACGGCTATTTCACAACCATATATTGGTTTTGAATACCTATTTTTTTTATAGACATCAAACGACTTGTTCGTGTGCGTGCGTGCGACCACAAACCAGATGAGAAATACCAATGCATTGTAAATTGATGCTGGTGATGGTGGTAGGGGAGTATACGCACACTAATGATAATTTACTATACGCACACAAAGACGATCAGTAATCGATCAGGAACGAAATAATTGCCTAAGCACAACTCCTTAAAAATGACACATTTGGTCAGGGGCCCCTTAATCCGTTATGGCCGAATCGCACGAGCAATAAAGTGCGACGATATACGCGTATTCAAGGTGCAGTAGAATTCGTTTTTTTAATTCTCTCTCCTTCCGGTGAGACAATCGCGCACCTGACGTCGTACGGCTAAAAATAGACGTCTGCCGCCGCCGCCCGGCTGTTGGCGACCCGAGTGCAGTTTTCGAAGCAACCCCCCCCCCACCGTTTCACCGTCCGTACTTGAACGGTCGGCGGCAATGCACTCGACGCGTTTTGTCGTCGTAAATAGTCTTCGACGTCGTTCACTGCAGTTTTGGCACGTGCCCTGTGGCCGGCGCCGCGTATTATCGCATTATATAGCCATACAGGTACGACGAGGGACTACCGCAACAAGATTTTTCGAAATCGAATCGTTTACAAAACGAACCAAAGTCGATTTTTCTGTTGAAATTTATTGATCCCGAGACTTTTTTTTTTCACCTCTGAGACGCGCACCGCGCACCCGTATACCGTATATATACTATAGTCCTGCACACCACGCTAGTTACTGCACCACTCTGTATGCTATAGTACTATAGCTAGCTATTACTGTTGAAACTATCACCTATATCTCTACAGAGTTACTCAAATGTTATCATGCTCTGCGTAGTCCATGAGCTACGCGGCACACGTTACGTAATATTATTATGTTGTATAATAGGTATTTGGCTCTCGTTATCGTAAAGCTGCGACTTTTCCAATTTTTTTTTTTTATCACTTTGGTGCCAGTAGATTTATACGAATTCCATGCTAATAATTATCATAATAATATAACGTGCGTGGGTAATATATAATAATAATTATTACCCTATGGCTCCATACGATTGAGTCCTAATTCCAATAAAAACACGTATTGGCACAATTTGTCTAATTTTTTTTTTTATCTTTCT